GTAAGTTTGCTTCCAAAGCAAGAGTACTTGAACACGAATGTTTCAGGTTTCCTTGGATGCAACGACGTCAGCAACCTTATTAAAGACGATCTCATCGCAATTGTTTTGTGTCATGGGTGTAAAATGAAAGAGAAAACAATTAGAATTAGAAAGAACTTTTATATGAAATAAAATGGATGTATACAATGTATTTATCTATAAAGAGGTATAATTTATAAAGAGGTGTGAAAGCTATTATAGGTGTCAACAAAATTGTTTCTATACTTAGTTTCAAATGATGCATAAATAGATTATATATTATTTCCTATTAAATCAACCTAAAAGTGTAATAAGATCATACCAAAATATTTTAAAATAATACCAAAATTAACCGAATTCTTATGACATAATAATTAAAAAAAATCATAATCATCTATAATATATAAAAATAACATTTTCGTATTTAGTGTCAATTTCAAAGATAGTTAATTTATGTTTTGTTAAAGGTACGTAATATCTTTTTCTGTTTATTTGAAAAGTTTCAGAAAAGTAGTTAAACGATTTCATGTAATTTGTGACAAAGAAAATCGAAATATATTAATACATATATTTGATATAGGAACAAAAAAAATAATCGAAAAAAATATAAAAAGCGAAAGATGGTACTGACCTTCTAGGGCATAACAACGAGGGTTTGAAGCGGAGAATGATGATGGAAGTTATCAGCAATGAGAATGATGTTGTGGGAGAATGTTTGAAGAAAAGCAACGATTGAGAATAAGTGCGAGTCGCGGATTCAATGATGAATCGTATATGTATGTGATAATTTGAATCTGATTTTTTGGTATTAATGGTTTCCTAATAAAAATAGGATTTATATTAATGGTTTACAATATAAATGGATTTATATTAATGGTTGATATTAATGTCTTAATTGAAATTGTTTGTTAGTAATATGTTTTTAAAGTTGACCATATTAAAACCTTTATAATCGGATTTTCAAGATTTAAAATATGAAAAACTTCTATTGGAATTACATTCCATTTCACCGGATGTAAGTTAATTTATTGACAATTAGAAAGCATTTATTGAAATTAAATACATTCAATTTGGGAAAGATGATTTCAGCAATTTGATCTAAGGGTGGAAAACATAGGATTGAAATACAATCAAGGGCCCAGATTATTTAAGATGATGTCATAAAGTTTCTCTTTTAATAATATTTAGAGATAGTTAGGGCTAAAGAGACACTTCATTTGGCTATTTAGACAACCTTGCAATCAATCATTACATAATAATTACTTTTAAATTATGATTATCTCCTAGTTTTCAACATGCCCTTTATTGTTCACAAATTTAATCCCTAAAAATTAATCGGGTCAAATTTAGTCCCTAAAAATTAGTTGTGTCAATTTAGAACCTTTTTTTTCATAAATTTGTTCATACAATACAATTATAAAATATTATAATCGATAAAATTTATATTATTTTTTGGAACTTCTATTCGTACATTCACTAAATCTACTTTAAAATTTATATAATTTTTTACTTATCTACCCACTAAATCTATATATTTTAAAGTTTTTCTTGTTTTACAATTGATAAGGGGGACACATTTTTATCGTTTGTGGCCACATGAAGTTTTAAACCAAGAAGTGTTCGAAATACATATCATGATTACTTATTACTTTTGATTTTTTAAACAAAAAGTTATTATAATGAATATCATAAATACGTTATTAATAAATGAAAATTGAATTGCGTGTTCCTTAATGCGTGTTTTACTTGGTAGGAACATATCTCTTAACTTTCTTATCATACTTTTTTTCCTGTTTTTAACTGTTGATAGAAGTTTTCTTTAATCATTTCTAAATCATCCTCACAACGAATATCCTCATTTGCTATAGAAATTGACTCTGATAAATCAAGCTTTCTCCAGAATATATCTATCGAATCTAATGGAATATACTCACATGTATTGAAATGCCATTAATATATAAAAATTCAATATATTAATTAAATTTAAAAAAATACTTGTTGAATATAATCACCCGAGTTCAAGTAAACTATGTTGTAGTTTACAACCACAGTTTGATGAGTCCATTTGATTTTCACTCAACCGGTAAAGTTCCCCTACTAGTTTATCAAGGGCTTCATGTGACACTGAACCCCACAATAATTTAAAACATGGCAAGTTATGTTCCCGTTTACAAACAATTCTACTCTTTTCAAGACTATCATGTATCGATGGAAGTTGAGACCTCACAAATCGATCAAGACAACCGATAAATTTATCAAGAGAAGAATTTGTGCCATCCAAGTACTTCAGATTTGAATGTGCGCTCTCAACTCTATTTGTAGTTCGTTGTCCAAAGTTGAGATGTTGATCGATCCAGACTGAGACAAACATTTCCTTATATTTGTTTAACCAAACTTCATCCAGATAATTTAAAACATCTGCAATTATATAAATGTTATTTATCTATAAAAATAATCTAAATTCATAAATAATTAGTTAGAAAATAAGAAGATTTGTACCTTGATAATTTCTCAACATCGATTGGAGTGCTTTGTAGTTTTCATTGTACACTATCCATGTTGGAGAGTCAACAAGTACAGTCCACATTAAACGAAAGGATTTCCACTCATCGTCTATCTTGAATGTACTCCTCCAACGCTTTCTAATATTTTCAGTATTGTGCCATCTACAAAGTAACCGAGTGGCACCGGGGAAAACTTGTTGACATGCGTTCATCAGTGCCAATTCCCTGTGTCTGTGACTATAACGTGTGGGTGCATGCACTTGTCTAGTGTGGACTTTAGACACATTAACACCCAATTATAGTTCTCCTCCTTTTCATTAATGATAAACACGTTAACACCCACCGTCTCTTTACATCCGTTGTCTTCTCCGATTCTTCCTTCGTACCGAATTCTGGTATTCGACCATGGTTACTGCCATCGCATATGGCCTTGCTATCGTCGGAAAGACAATGGCAACATCCGATTCTTGACAGAACTCTCCACTCTCTCACTCTTTTCGCCAGAACACTCTATTCTCAATACTCATCTGTATACTCGTCGGTATACCGTATACCACCGTCAGACCACAGGTGAGGGTGAAGGCGGCGGCATTACGATAAATACTTCAAAAGTTGATTTAAGATTTAGAATAGATTATTTACCTTGATTTTGTTTTGTTTACTGTTAATTTGTCTTATTGGCTTATAAACTAAGAATTTTTTTTAAACAATTGGTTAGTAGTTGATTATGAACAAGTTTCAATATAATCAAATTTAATTCTTATTAAAGACACACTCTTCAAAATATGGTTAGTGGTTATTTAATTGAAATTTATGATGGAAAAAAAACAATTTACACTAAAAGAAAAAAAAAAGTTTGAATCTTGTGTGGCCAGGTTTGGAAAATGTTTGATGTACAATGAGTTTAATTTAAAAGCTAAAATTGTTATTTTGCTTTTACAAGGGGCTAAGTTGTATATTTTCAAAATATATTTGGCTGAAATCTTTATTGAATACTAGGTTATAACCCGTGGACACCACGGATGATAAAATTAAAAATAATATTATTTATAGTAATACTTAATAATTGAAGAATAAGAATAAAATTTTTAATAAGTAATAAATATATATGTTTTATCAGTCGTGTCATAATTATATGATGATTCGTTAAAATTACAAAAGAATAGTGGTTTTCATATCCGGTCGGCAATTTGCATTTGTAGATATGTTAGGAAAATATCATTTTTGTATAATTGAATCAAAATTTAAATAAAAAAACATAAATTGATATAAATAATAAAATTGTACGAAGTTTTTATAAATTTCTAAAAACTTCTTTATACACAACGTTGGATGTTTTATTTGATAGTCTACCATCCTTATCTAAAATTAACAACTTTAATCCCTCTCTACTTTGAACTCTGGATAAAGCAACGTACAATTAGCCATGTGTAAAAACAGGATCCTTGAGAAACAAACCAACCTTCGATAAAGACTGTCATTGGCTCTTATTAATTGTCATTGCAAAACATACAACCAATGGAAACTGTCTTCTTTGAAATTTGAACGGGATCTTGTTTTCAGTAGGAGTTAGAGACATTTTTGGAATAAAAGTCCGGTTTCCAATATTACTTCCAGATATGATAACTGCCTCAATAACACGTTTGCCCAAAGATTTGACTTGTAGTCTAGTGCCATTACATAAGCCATTTTTCTGATCAATGTTTCTCAATAACATAACTGGAACAGCGACTTTTAAAATGAGATTATGGTTGGGCATACCTGAGACTTTAAGACCATTTAAAACATCAGGTGAGTATAAATTTTCATCAAACTGATCATGAACAAACTCAGACTGGCAGAGGCTATCTGAACTTAAATATTCTTTTTGCTCTCCTGGAATCAATTTTAGCAACCGATCATTTATTTCTTCAACAACTTCATTCTTGGGAGCAAGTATTGCTCTTTCTTGAAAATAACCCGCAATGTTGAAGTTTTCAAGAATCGAAGGATATACAAAATTGATTAATGAACCTATAGGATCACATGGATCATTAATGAGAATATCTTCTGGAATATCAACAATTGCTTCACCATCATTCGGACCACCAACATTACCTTCTCCTATGTCCAAAAGCCAGTTTGAAAAACCCCTTATTCGATCAACAGCAGATGAATCGCTTCCAACAGTTAACCTCATGTTTTTTGTTAATTTATGGACTTTGCATTGTTGCCATAAAAACGAAGAACTTAAAGAAGCGTTGACAATGTTTTGTCTACTGCCACCCGGAACAACAGGTAGAATTTGTCTGAAATCACCTCCAAAAACAACCACTTTCCCTCCGAATGGAATATTTGAGTTTGTAGGATCGACAAATCGTAATATATCCTTCAAAGTTCGATCTAAAGCTTCAAATGCATGCTTGTGTACCATGGGTGCTTCATCCCAAATGATCAATGAGGCTTTTCTTACTAAACTCGCAAGATCACTCTTTGGATTTATTCTACAAAAGAATCCTCGGTAAGATTTATGGGAATTATAAATCGATTGTGTGTTGTCCTGCCTCCAGTCAATAATAATGAAGCGATCCCACTTGAAGCAACGTTTAAAACAATCTCTCCTTGGCATCTAATTGCTGCAGAAATTGTCTTCCAGAGAAATGTCTTACCCGTTCCACCATAACCATAAATAAAGAATACACCTCCCTTATTATTTTTAACCTTAGCCATTATGTCAAGAAAAATGTTGCGTTGCTCGTCGGTTAATGAAACAAAGAGCCGATCAAACTCATTCTTCAAATTTGGTATGTCATAATCTAGCTCCTCGACTATCAAACGATTGTTTGAAGATGAAACCAAATCAGCATCTGGGTAAGGCATCCTTCTATAGTTCTTGAGACTGGAATTGTTTCGGAGTAAAATTTGTTCTATCTCAAACAAAGTCAAGTTTTTAATTTGATCTTCGTTTAGTGATAAACCTGTACGAACAATACTATATTAGTTACAACATATTAAAAAAGAGATTAAGTGGGACGTAAAATGTAATTGAGTGCATATTGGAAATTTATATGATATAGTTTTAATAATAATGTAATAAACATATAATACCTGGAGACTTTAATCTCTTTTGTTGAGTATAAAGAATTCCATCTGACAGGTATTCCCATGTGTTTTCCCACATAATCTCTGGTTTACACAAACTGCTGGACAATAACATCGTAGCAAATAAGAAACGCATATAAAAACCAGATCCAGAAAGACTTGCTTCCTTAATTGCTTTGATGTATTCTTTTTCATCATCCAAAAGGCCCAGATTATAGCATGCATCTTTAAAAGAAGAACAAATTTCACCATTGACCGTGCGAATTTCTTCGAAGGATTTTGGACCTTTCACTTTATTTAAAAGAATTCTTAAAAAATATGCTTCGCCAAGCTTAGGTGAAACGGAGTGAATTCTACCAATAGAAAATCCAACTTCCCTTGGCTTCCAAGTTTGAAGTTTAGGTTTCCAAACAAACTTGGTAGGAAATTCAACATATGTAAGTTTTCGTGCTTCTTTATTGATCTCATTACACTTCATCCAAGATATGAACATTGAAGAAGCAACTGAAGGTCGGTCAAGAACATCTTCAATATCATCGTCTGCCTCATATATAACTTGTTGTTGACCAGGCAAATGAAAAGGTAGTCTAATCACAACAGGATGCCTATAATGAACATCATATTTAAAAATTCTCCATGATGCTTCACATGCAGATATATATCTACAATCATAGTATTCTTTGATTTCATCCACTGCATCGTTGTTCTCAGTATCATTATTGTTTTGCACCATAGCAACAGTCGCTCTATCAGGACCCTTGTTTATATATTTAAATAAATATTTTATAGAAGATCCTTGATTGCACCATTCAACATTAATGTGTGCCTGATATCTTTTTAACAGATATTTGTTGTATGGAACAACATTTCTGTTATCTAACTGAACACCAGATTTTTCAACAAAATTTCCATCATTTCTTCTCCTATATAAAGGAAAACCATCTGAATCAACTGAAGTATGATTACAGAATTGCTTTGGAAAGTTTTTAGAACACTTTCTGTCCACCATGCATGGGCAATTGAAATTTTCAGCTCCACATGGACCGTGAATCATGAACTCCTTCACAAGTGAATACAATTCTGGATCTTCATCAATATTTGGAATCTCAGCAGAAATAATTGGATCGATATATTCAACTGTAGGAAGCTTGCATTCAGAATGCATAAACAGACATATATGACTATGAGGCAGACCTCTTTTTTGAAATTCAATTGTGTAAACCACTGCATATAAAAATATACAAATAGGATAGAAGTTAGAATCTAAAGAAGATATAGAAATATATATATATATATATATATATATATATATATATATAAGTATAATTTCAAATACCTGCTTGAACCTTGCCAAAAAATTTATTTTCCCTTAAATCTTTAATAAATGCATCCAACTTAATCTTAAATAACCTACATAATATATCCGGTCTATCTTCAGGATGAAGTGGAGTGTTCTTAAGAAACCTTTGAACTTCTGGCCATTTTGGATTACACGTAAAGGTTATGAAAAAATCTGGATATCCAAACCATTTACATAGCGACATGGCATCCAAATAGTTTTGCATCATATAACGTGCACCACCGGTAAATGAAGAAGGTAAAATCACACGTTGACCAACGTTCGAAATATCTGTACTACCACGTGCTTGGTAATTACGCAGATTCTCATAAGACTCACATCTAAGAATTTTTTGTTGCTTACGTATGAAAAATAATCGCTCGCTTTCAATCATTGTATAACCATCAACCAAAAATTGTTGGAACAACCTTTTTGCATTAAGAAGTAGTGAGAACGATTGATCTCTATCTTGAATTCTGTAAGCAAAAAATTCTCTCATTGTACAGGTTGGGCGCTTGCTGTTACTTGAAGATGTAATACCTCTATGAAGGATGTCAACTCTGTAACCATCATCGCCATATGGAAATAGTAATGGATACTGAAGAGCAAGGTAAGAAAGATGTAATTCACTGATACGCTTTAGTAATCCTGATGAGGTTTCAACAATGATGTCTCTTTTTTCAATTGAATCACAAATGTCACCGACAATTAAAGCAGCTACCTCAGAAGAAGTTGGTAAGTTATAAGTCCTTCCATCTTGTTCTCTTTTTCCGATTAATCTTAACTTCAAGTTAGCACCCGGATTTTCATGAAGATTGTCTCTTACCATCCTATAAGACTTGACCAACGCATTGTTTGAATCTAACATAACCTTCAAAAATTCTATAATCTGGAGATCATATAATCTTGAAGTTGATGTAGAACCGCTCGTTGGTCCACTAAAAATATTAAAAAAAATATTTAATGTTAGTAAAGAAAATAATGAATTGAAACGGTTTATTAAAGTTATTGTAAAAATATACCCAATACTTGTCGATCTATTTGAAATCTCGTTCTCCGTATCATATATGTATAACTGACAGAATTTTGGTTAGACTTCCCATACTATGATAATTTTGACCGCTAAGTCTGAATATGTATGGTGTGTTGCCTCTGTTGATGGATGAATCGACTTTGCCTCCCATGGATGTAAATAAAAACATTGAATTGTAACGTCGAATGTTCTTCATGAAGTGTTTGCTTTTAGAATCTACAGAACGGTAAAGATTTTTGTAAGATGAGGGTGCTTCTTTTAAGGATGGTAGCTCAACTTTGCCATAACCACAACATAGGGAATAAGACGTATTGCCTTTTTTTTGCCCTCTAAGCGATTCATCTACCCATAATTTTGCATGACAAATCTGACATATAACAATTTCGTCTCCATGATCCAAGTAATATGTTGAATGAAAAAAATATAAAAAAAATATAAAGATTATAAAAAATAAATTATTTAATAAATTTAAATAATATTAAAACTATTAGAATTATGATCACCTTTTGATATACCGCGGAATTTATCTTCGACAATATGATCAGCATTACTTTCTTCATCTAATGTCAAGTCAAACACAGGTATAGAGGATATATGCGGAGTCTTCCTTTTTAATTGATGTTTTCCTCTTGGTAACTTGATTGATGAAGAATTTTGGATCATTGTCGAAAAATTACCGGATGACGTGGCATTCACAAACATTGAATTATGTTTGTTAATAGATATTGGTGTTTGAATGTTATTATTGTATATATAATTGCCTGATAAAATAAAGATACCAATTACAACGTTACCAACAGTTATGATTTATATAAAAGTAAAGTTTACATTTCTAAATTCGTATATTTATAAATGTGTACCGTTTGAAATGTTAGAAAAGGGAGTTCTAACATTTAAATTTGTTGATGGAGAATTATGAATTATTGTCGAACGATTGGTGGATGTCGTGCCAATGCAAAACATTGAATTATGTTTATCAGTCGTATGTGATGTTTGAACATTATTATTGAAAATATAGTTGTCTGGTAAGATTAAAATACAAATTAGAAAGTTAGAAATTGTTATGAGTTATATAAATATGAAGCATATATTCTTAAATTCGTGTATATAGAAGTACGTACCATTTGAAGGAGGATACATATTTGTATGTTGATGTACGTATGATTTGGTTGAGTTTATATTTTCCTTGTCTAAGGTAACGTTTATATAGTTATCTGTAGATATTAATCTAAGACGACGACTGAAGACATCTGTTATATAATTAGAAAAAATGGTTAGTACTAATAAAAAAATATTAATTTTTATAAATACTATAAATTAAAGAGTGTTGCAAATTTTATATAATTTTTATATTTGCATATCAATTGTAAAATAAACGAATATAATTACCATTATTCGACATGTAAGAAGCATGTGTAATAGAGGAATTTTGACGGGTTGATGTGCTTAGTAACACTTTCGATTTTCTATTATCCAAATATAACTTTCTAACTTTTCTCCTCTCTTTAGCGTTTGTAGATTCTGTAACGTTATTTGAACCTGTAAAATAGTAGAAAACAACTTAAAGTCAATATTTTATATTAAGTACAAATATATTTTTATTATTTTTATTATTATTTTAAAAAAAAATAAATAATATATTTAATACTAAAATAAATAAATAAAACATATTATAAATGCAAAATAAAGAAAGAAGGTTACCGTATTGGCTAAAATTAATAGCATGTGCAGTAGGTGTATGATGAGACGATGATGTATGATGAGACGATGATGTAGTGCGATGTTTTTTGGATTTTTTGTTATCCAAATATAACTTTCTGTTTTTTCTTCTTTCTCTAGCGTCCGTTGCATCCATATTCTTGTTCGATACATAATAACAATAAAAAAGTACATTGAAAAAGAAAATTAACAATTTGATAGTAAATGTTACATACGATTGATAGCTTATGTAATTTGTATAAACTTAATTTGACGAATTGAATACTAATCAAATACGAAATAAATGATATTTCAAAATCATAAAATTACATAATCATATATAAATAAATTTTTCTTAATAAATTGTTGAGCATAATAGATAAAATGGCAATTTAAATAGTTTATGTCAATTTAAATCATAATTTAATAAATATAACATATAAATATAAATTTTGAGGTTATTATTTAAATTATAGTTCTTTTAATATTAATTGGGTATATATATATATATATATATATATATACCAATTTAAATTATTTAAATATTATTGATAGAAAATTTAGAAAAATAAAAGTTATTTATTTTTATTGTTTTTATTTAAAATAAATAGTAATTACTATTTATTGTTTAACAACAAACCCACCTACACGAAAAGCAATCATAATAACCCCATTTTCCCCCTTTGTCGTAATAGAAATGAAGACCTAGAACAGTGTTATAGCAAAATCGATATCTCAACAATCAAGATTAACAACTCTAAGGTATTCATTTCAGAAATCTATAGAAGTTTGTCCCTTGGTATCGATGAAGGCAGAAAGTAATATACAAGCAACGAATCTGATTTGAACCGAGTAGTCTGTTTTTATCGATAATATACGATGTAGAAGTCACAGAATGAAGGTACGAATGATTAGGGTTTGAAGATGTGATGATTGAAGGTAAAAAATTATCTAAATATACGTACAAAACATAGATTAGTTGGAAGAAATTATACCTGATTATTTTGTACAGAAATGATGTCTTTTGAAGAACCGATCGAAAACTGAAGTGGTATGAAGAAAAATTCGAAATACTTCAAGACTGGAGAGACAATCAGGTAACTTTCAATTTGAATGAAATTATGATTTTCATACTATCTGCGTAATAGTTTGAAAATTTGAAATTCGAATTTGGTAGATGTTAATGTTAAATCTGTTCAAATGTTATTCCGATTAATATGAGTAAATAAGTTATTAATATATTTTTATATACCTTCTGAAATTAGATTGCAATTTTTTAAAAGATTTGCCATATATTAGGGTTAAATATATGAAAAACGCAAGACAAACTCATATTAATGTTAATGTATTTGAATATTTGATTACTGAATTAGCATTTACAAAAAAATCATATTAGTGTTTAGATATTTAATTTTTTTTTATACAAATTGAGGTCCTATTGAAATACTAATTCGGCATCTATGAATGGCATCAGATGAATATGCTTGCCTATAATATTTTGCAGAATCAAATTACAAAAAGTATTGTTCAAACTAATATCTTCGTTTTTACATATTTGATTCAATGGCATAGTTAAAGTTGGCAAAGTAAATCATGATTGATTGTTAATTAAAAAAATTTAACCATTATTATATATATCCGGTTATAGCTATTATTTTGTCAAATTATTAATATTTCTGGATCTTTCTGATATTTAATTAGAATATAAGACCAACAATCTGCACTTTTGTTATATGGACAAAAAGAATGACATTATTTTTAACAGTTAAAAACTCAAATAGAACAATAACATCTTTGGGTAATCGATTCTTTAAAACTAATTTGTAACCCAAAATTAACAATGCTTTGTTTTGTTACAACATATATGAAAATAATTATGTAACCCATATAATAAGATGGTAACTGAACATTCTATCAATTATAGGGTTATTCTGTAATTTATGTAACACAAAATTGTTAAAAGGTCAGGAAACTGATGTAGAATATGTATAATAAGAAAAATATCATTTATTTGTGAATTTATTTACGCAGCTACTTCATAGCATTTTCCCTCGACAAGAATATTGTGAAATGAAATATTAAAAATGCCCCTTTTGGTCATTTAAACTCACACTACAGTACATCAGGGGCATGATATGGAAAAAATTTCAATTTCAATTACTATCTCATTAAACCAGAAACATAATTCGTCAATTACACATATGTTTCTTTTCCCAGTTCCTTCATTTTCGTCATCCAATCTAATCTGTATAAATTCTTTCAGTTAAGATCCTTATAATTCAACTGTGAAAACTTAAAATAGAAAAAAAAAATTAATTTATTTAAATGACCATTTTACCCCTAAAATAGACCTGAAAAATCTATATTTTTAAATTCGTCTATAAGAACATTGTACTTTTACATTTGTATGTGATTCTTTATTAGTGGTTCAGTATGTTCTTCTATTTGTTATTTGTGTGTCTGTTCATGAAAATCGAAATTTTCATATAGTTTTTGTATAAAGCATAAATTATTTAAGAAACCCACTAAAACAAAAATGGTGTTAAATAAATGTTTCAAAATTCCAAAGAGAATATAAAACTACAAGAATGTAAAATAAAACTGAAGTTTATTAATGTAAACAAACATATTTTTTCAAACTTGATCTTAAAATCAAAAGTTAGCCAATGTTTTCCAATTTCACCTTCATAATCTCTTTACCATGTTGACAAACATCAGCATTACTCTTGCACTGAAACTTAAGTTTGAAATCATCATGCTGACAAACTTGATTAGATGGAATAATTGTATGTGTATTCGATGACAAATCAAAGGGGATCATCTCCATCTAAACTGTTATTAGGAAGAGAGTTAAATAATATGAGTGAGATCAAGGGTAACTGTAGAAATAAAATGATAAAACATAAATTAGCTCTTCTTGAAAACATTGATTTCATCAATGTCAGTGTCAATGAAAAGCTTTGTCACGGAACAGTACGTGTTAACTGTGGGACGACCTAAAAAATAAATAATATAGGTGTTATTTTTATTATTATAAAATAAAGGTTAATAAAAAAATAAATTTACCTCTCCAAACTTTAAGCATTGCAAATTGAAGGATAACAATCATACGAAGATTGTGTACGTTGTTATCGATAAAGTTTTGCATTGTGTAAGCATAATGACCCAACAATGCGACAGATAGTTGCAAACCACTAAAAAATAAATTTTTAAAGTAAAAAAGATAAATTCTTGTATATTATAAGTGATCAAAATAAATATATGTCTAAACAAACTTTGCATCTTGAATTTGGATGATGAGTCTGTGTTTGTTCACGTCTGCATTATCTCGCCACATGTCACCAATTCCAACCACTAATCCAATAACATCTATGAAAAATAACAAATATCAAACATATCAATTGTTGTGAATGTGAATACATAATATTTTATTAAAACATAAGATTTCTTGATAATTAAACTATATTCAAATGAACTAACCAATTGATATGTTTGGAGGATGGACCAATGAGATAAGACTTTGATAATCAACAAACTCAAAAAAAAAAACGTAGGCCCATAAAAGTCATGACACTCAGTAACAACAGTGTTATGGACAAAAGTAAGTTTATAATGATGACGAGTTAACCTCAAACCACCCATACTTTCTGATGCAAAGATTAGACATTTTATGTAAAATGCATGGCCATCTTTTAGAATATCTATGAATCTGTAGATGTTTTTCCTTGAGACATTTGCTTGGATTTTGTTTCCCTAAAAGAAGTATGATATAAATTGTCTTTAATAAGTAAAATGGTCATTGTAAGCTATATTATAAAGAATCATTCTTAATAACTTATAAGTATACCTGTTCATCTATTAAGATCAATTCAATTAAGTAAAGTTCATCTTTGTTATAGAATGATTTCTGGTTCCATAAGTTTATAACACGAAGTTTGAATGTTAAATCATCCCTTAGAACATCTAAATCAGCAATTAAAGTAACATTTGATGCAGCCATTGATCTGCAAAAAATAAAAAAAAAATATATTGTCACGGTTATTATTTTATAGTTATGTGTTTAAGCATGAGAAAAATGAAATGATTTTTGGTTCCACTACGAGATTCTAAACATAATAGATAAACATCTATAGTTTTGTGTTTTTTTATGGTAATTTATATGATCCAAATCATCCTTCTGTGTGTAAGTATGAGAAAAATGAAGATTTTGACTATAAGATAACATATAAAGAAAGGAACACAGGGAGAATAAGAATAAGAATAGCTTTACCAGAATTGCAGTGTTTTAAGGTTCTGATACGAAGCAGATGCGTAAAGGCAAATGTTGGAAACGAATTTAGGGGTTTTATATTTATAAGTAAAAGAAAACATTCGAATTTAATTTTGTAATTTATTTAATTCCTATTATGATGCAGATATATTTGGAAAATAATAAATTGATTCAAAAACCCTTGCTGATTTTATGCGATATGATGCTTAATTTATTTAAAATGAATTTTAATGCAGGCGTAGTATGGAAACAAATTTGCTGATTAGTAGGAGAGTGTGTGGATTCGTCAAAGAAGGTATGGGCGGATTAAGATTGATTTTCAAAATAAAAATTAGTTTTATATTATCGTGAATTATCTTGATTTGAATTTAATTTGAATTTGAGTGTGATTTTTTATGTATTTGGGAGGGAATAATTTTCTAAGAAAATGGGTGAAAATGACACGTGGAAATTTAATTTTTTATCATAGGCAAAGTACAATGACTGAATAAGAGATAAAATGAAATAAATTAAAAATTTTAACATGTTTCTGTACAAATCCTAGCAGCAACCTGATCAAATGTACAAAATATGCAGATAAAATAATAAATTAATATTACAAGTAGTAGCAACCTACATTTGATTACTACACATGTTAATATCGACTTGAACATTTATGTCCTTTTTTATTTATGCACCATAATCATTAATTATGCTTCCCAAAAGTTGAATAAAATCAGCTTACTAAAATTTTTGGTATTTTTAGATTCAGTATATTGGTTGATTCCACAAATTTTAGTTTTTTTTTTTAAATAGAGGCATAATACATGTAAATTTTTTGATATTGATCATATTTATCATGCTCTTTTTCACCCTTGTTATATCGAAAACCTTTTTTTTTTGTATTTTTAGCTTCGTTATAACTCATTATTTTTTGTTTATACATTACATATAGAATGTATGATTCTATATTTAATAAACAACCGAATAAAGATGGAAAACCATGATGGTATAACAAAAAATATGGAAAAATTTAATCATAACATGCTATACAAATATAGCATCACAAACCATTTAAAAATAAAATGATAGAATCCAAAGTTTTAACCTTAAAAAACAGAATTGTTAAAACATGAAACCAATATAGTTTAAAACCACCATGCAAAATAAAAACTGAAAATTGTTCATGAAATTCCAAAAAAGAATTCATTTCCAAATTAACCACAAAAAGCCGAGTCAGCCACTTTTTTCCAACTTCACCTTCAATAACTGTTTTCCTGGACCATCTGGAGATACTTTTGGAGTTTTTGAGGATGATAAGTTTTCATTCAATTCTTTATTAAAGACTTCTTCTAGATTTCGTTTTAAAACGGGTGTTGTGTTGTTTAACTTCATTGGGCTTGTTGCTGAGTTTTTGTCAACAGTGGAAGGAGTTATGTTGTCGTCGGTACCAGAAATTACATCATAAATAAACAATTATACAACATTGTTATTTAAATCGAAGTATTATTTTATAATATATTTATCTAATGTAACATGCATAAAACCTTTAGAGTTCTGTTATCTTGAGATTCGAATTCGCCCAAACCAATATCCAGAGAGTGTGTTATACCAGTCTGCAAAAGACAGAAAATAACAATAAAATTGTTTTAAAAAACCCATAAGAACATATAGTTAGCAACAAAAAAAACAATAATCAACAAATTAATTACCTGTGAATCAGTAAACTTGTTTTCGAGTTGTTCAATTATATCAACATTATCACTGACTCTAGTAATTCCATATTGATTGTTTTTTTTGACACATTGAAATCCGTAACAGAAATCTTGAATGCCAATTTCAAACCTTTCAATGCATTAACCTTCCCCGGAAAAAATTTAGTACTGTCTCCACTCTGCAACGAAAAATAATATAAATACAACTTGGTGCAAGTTCACATATACACAAAACCTAATAATCATTTAAAAATATTCAAATGACCTGTGTCATTCTTTTAACCAACTCCTTTGCTGAACTCTTCAAAAGATATCTTCCTTCTTTTTCAAACATTGTTAAGGTGATAGTCCCGGTATTATCTTGCACACGTATCGGTATCATAAATCTATAATAGGTTTACAAAATATATTATTAAAATACATGGAGTAAAAAACATTTTGTATGATTATAGTAGAAAGAATAACCTCGGTACAACAGAAGTTGTTGTTTTTGTGCAATTTCTGTTATGACATTCATAAGAAATTGATTTTGCATTTGATTGATGAACATTAGTATCATCTTTTGCATCATTAACCTGAGCACAGTAACTGCAGTTTGTACATGCGGGATAGAACCATCTCTCATTTTGCAATATCCCCTTTATAGTGCCAACTATAATGAAATATGTTTTTTGCATGAAAAAGTTGTTATTTATAGTATTTTATTATTTTATAAGTTTTATTTAAGTAATTTTGTTTATCTTTTCTTATCAGGTAAAAGTATCTTTCAAACATTAAATTGATGATTATTTCACCTTTGTGAGGAAACATCATATTCATTATTCGAAGGTTATTGCAGCATTATTCAGGTACATTTCAAATTTAATATTTGCATGTTAAAGATTCATTTTGATACATATAGAGATATAGTTGTTATATTACATTTGTATATAGAAAAGTATTTATATTTATAATTTTATAATTTATAATATATATAATTTTATAATTTTATAAAATAAAATAAAAGTTTACAAAATTAGAATAAATACCTCAAGGGGTTCAAAAATCTCAGCAATAGTCTTCAGCTTAGTTCTAACTATGAAATCATCAAATTCAGAAAGTTGTTTAGATTCAATAACTGAAATTGTATTTGAAGACGAATCAGGACGATCATCCACATCTAAACTGTAAATTATATAAAGTATAAATTATTAGTATTATTGAAATGAAATGTTGTATAATTAAAACCTATATGAAATGTGTTACCTTTTTTTGAAGAGAGTAATTTCATCAATTTCTGAGTTAATGAACAACTTTGAAGATGTAAAGTAGGTGTTAACACTTGGACGATCTTTAATAAAAATAATAATAATTAGTATAACAATCCAATATGATTAAGTGTGTTGATAAAATAAAAATATACCTCTCCAAATAGTAATCTGTGCAAACTGAAGTATAACAACAACATGTTGATTTGGTGGATTGTTATCTATGTAATTCTGCATCTTGTACGCATAATCACCCCACAAAATTACACGGAGTTGCAAAGCACTGAAAAGTCAACAATTGTTTATTAAAAGTCATTTTTTTAACATAATATAGACTACAAATATAAAGATATAAAAAACATACTTCGCATCTTGGATGTGAATGGTTAGCCTCTGTTTAGACTTATCTGAATTATCTCTCATCATCTCACTAACAGCAACTACCAATCCAATAACATCTGTAAAATAAAAAAACAATTGAATGAAGAGTTGTTTAAAATTTGAAGAGATTATATAAATTAGATAAGCACAATTAAGACCAATTAAACTTTTAGTTTATAACGGGAATTATAAATACTAACTAACCAACAGATGTATCTTGAGGACGTAGAAATGAGAGTATAGATTGATACTCAACAAATGAAAATCCAAATTTAGATCCAGAAAATTCTGCACATTCTGTAACAACAGTATCTTGGACAAATGTTAGTTTTTGATCTTGAGGAGTTAGTTTGAAACTACCGGGCTTTTGTGATGCAACACTTGGTCTTGTGATGTAAAAAGATGACCCATCCTTTAACAGATTTTTGAAACGATACAAACATTTTTTGTAGACAGTAGCTTAGATTTTGCTCCCCTATAAAAAATTTATATACCATAAACAAAGAAGTAATTGTAATTAAGTGTTTAAGTGTAAGAAATCATTAATATGTAGAGTGTAGATACCTTTTCATCAAGTAAGATTAATTCAATGGCCCAAATGTCATCCTTGTTGTAGAATGACATATGGTTCCACAAGTTTATGACACGAACTTTTAGTGTCAAATCGTCCCTCAGCGCATCCACATCATCAATCAAAGTGACACTGCAATCACCCATTTAACTGAAAAAAAATACAAATTTATATAAATTTGATGAAAAATATATGTAACAGTTTGGGCTATTTTTTGTTTTGATTGTTTTTTATCAATCCAAAGTAGTTTTAAAAGTAAACCAATTCTGAAAAGAAAAGGTTTATGTGCACTTATACGTATTATCTGCACAGAAACAATAGTATATAAAGGTTATTCTTAGTTAACAAAAAATAAAAGATATAATTTTCAAATAAGGCATAAAGGGTAAATTTGTCCAACATATAAAAATAATGGTAAATAATGTTGTAAACATTTTTCTTATTAAAAGATTCGAAATACTTCTTCAATTTATATCCATAACAGCTTCGAAGTAGCTTTCTTATTGATACAAAGGGTAAAGTTGTCTAACATTAGAAATATCCATACTTTTTTACAATCTATAGCAATGTACTAAACAAATCCAAAAAAAAAAAAGGTTCTGGTGCACTTTTAGGTTTTTCACAGAAACAAAAGCATAGAAAGCTTATTCGTATTTAACAAAAATTAAAACATATAATTTCATTCTGTGTAAACCTTTTTAATTTATATAGTAAACCTTTTTAATTTCTATAGTCACCATTTTTTATGGTGATTAATATGATGAAGTTATGCATTTTGTGTCTAAATATGAGAAAAATGATGATTTTGTCTATAAGATATTACACAAAGTAACAGAAGGAGAAGAATATAGATATATAATCAAAATAAAAATAACAATAACAATAACAGAATTGCATGGTTTATGCAGAAAGAAAAAAACAGAAGGAGAAGAATAATGACATTGTTGTTTGGGGATGCCTTACCAGAATCGTAGTGTTTTATGATTCAGCTAATCAGCAAAATGCGAATAGGAAAATGTTGGAAACGAATTCAAAGGTTTCGTATTTATAAGTGAAAGAAAACATTCAAATTCGAAGTTAATATTTTATTTGATTTGATTTGATTTAATTCCTATTATGATGCAGATATATTTGGAAAAATATAAACTTATTAAAAACTCATTGCTGATTTTATGTGATATGATGGATTTTAATGCAAGTTTAATAAGGAAACATATTTGCTGATTAGTAGCAGAATGTGTGGATTGGGCGGTCAAAAATTGATAACAAATAAAATTTTCGTTTTATAGTATAGTGATTTTATTTGAATTGAATTTGAATTTGAATTTGATTTTGATTAGATTACACTCCGTTAATTTAGTGTTACATTTAGATTTAGATTAGATTAGAGTTAGAGTTAGATTAGAGTCCGATAATAATGTTTTGGGCGGGAAGTTTTTTCTGTGAATATAGGAGGTAATGACACATGGATTGTTATGGGTTATAAGAGGGACATGTGGCAAACCTAGAGAGGTTTTTATTAGGAAGAGAGATTAGGCGGCCAAAGGGAAATCCCAACAACAAAAATCTATATTCCCAATGCAAAAAGTTATTTGACTTTTAAATCTAAGGGTGTCTAAAAGGTGTTTTATTAGCGGCACCCGAATAGTTATTATCATGTATCTAAATTTAATTTAACTTAATATCAAGTTTACTTTTATATATTAATAGACAAAAAAAATAGGAGAGACGTGTCATTTGGAAAATAAATAAAAAAAAAAAAAAAAAAAAAAAAAAAACTATTAAGTCTTAAAAAAAAAAAAAATTACATGTGACAGAAGTTCAATGTCCTCCATAATTTCAAAACTATGACTCTGTTCTTAGTTCCAGCGTTCTTTTATCTACCATCTACCATTCAGGCATATTCAATGTCCTCGATTTTTGGTGCCAGTTATCATATTCTTCTTTTTCTTCGTAATGTCATTTCTTTGTGGATGGCTCCCTTAGAAGATGTTTTCATCTTTTCATACTATGCTTCTATGGTAAGTATAACGTTTTTCATCACATGAGGCTTCATACAAGGCTTGAGCTCATTGGAGAAGGAAAAAAATATAGTTAGATTTAAGGGCGAATTTCAACTAGTCGGAAAAGAAAGTTATGTGGGTGTTGATGAATTAATAAGGTGTTGATAGAGTTTTTGGATCCGTTAAATTGTAATGGCGGGCAGGGAGAATATAATGACTTAAAGACTTTTTTAATATATCTTGTTTTCTTTAAAATTATTTTTTATTATATATTAAATTTTATGTTTGCGTTAACTTCAATCTATGTTTAAATATCGTAAATTTTATGTTTGCGTTAACTTCAATCTATGTTTAAATATCCTATTTCTTTTTTCTAAATCCACCACTGAAAGGCGGTGTGACCTTTAAATTATTTTAGCTCAGCATGGAAGTTAAGAACTTGATTTGTATATCGACAATAAAATAACGTATTTAAATTTTAAAACAGAAAAATAAAATAGAATTACGATTCTACAAAATTCAAAATAGTAAGCAGTTTAGAATCCAATTTATATGTCCGAAATATCTATTCTGATATTCAGAAACAGGTGATTATTTTCTTAAATGGCGAAAAAAATGATCAAATATAGATATTCAAATGGTATCTTTTTTTTTTTTTTTTTTTTTTTTGCGAATATTGCTTAAATAAAATGAGTCGACACAATTTATGTTTATGGACCTTTATCCCTGTGCTTCACACTCACCGGAATTTTCCGTAACAAAAAAACAAAAGGATGCCGTATACAACCTCTGAACCACAAAGCAATCATCTGCAAACCCTGTTGGAATCGGCGCGGCCGTTTCTCCGGGGACAATTGGAGAACGTTGACGTCAAACTTCCATCCCTAATCTCGGTCTTGAAATCCGTCGGAGCTGGCGAGTGCTGGCACAAGCACGGCAGCTTCCTCGACCACCTCGTCGACATCTACAGGATCCTTAAACTATGGGGTGCTCCTGATGCAGTATGTCTCTGCGGCCTCTTCCATTCTGCTTACTCTAATTCTTACGTCAACCTCGCCATCTTCGATCCTTCGACTGGCCGCGACATCGTTCGTGGACACGTCGGCGAGGCGGCGGAGCGGTTGATCCACTTGTTCTGTGTCGTGCCTCGCCAACAGCTTATCCATGATGACCTGTTGTTCCAGTACTCCAACGAATCGGAGCTTGTGCAACACCTAAAGGACTCCGAGAGATCGTTGACTAATGCACGGAAAGGTGCTTTGGAGATCGGAGATGAAGAGTGGAGGAAGAAACTTCAATCAATTTTGCCTGCCGATGGAATCGTGTTGAAGCATATAAAAACAGGCGAAGATGTGCATCTATCGAGGAGAGTAGTAGCGACCTTCCTGCTAATGACAATTGCCGATTTCAGCGATCAACTGTTCAGTTTTCAGGATGTATTGTTCGATAATTCAGATGGAATGCTCAAATTTTCCGGTAATGATTGGGCCAGCGCGTTGTGGCCGGGGGATGGAAAACCAGGACTATGGATGAACTCCATATCAAGGATGGGAGCAATTTACACACTGATCGTTAGAGAAGAAGAATTGTACTCAATTGAACAGCCTCAATCATCCAACAAAAACCGAGATGAAGAAATCGAGCTTGTGACGCCATCAATTCTTGAAAATTGCACCAGAGTATTGAGCGCCAAGGATCAGATAGAAGCAAGAGATCGGTACTGGGAAGGTGTTTGTAACGTGTCAAAGAGAGGATTGGATGGGTGTGAAGATGTGTTGAAAAGGAGTCTGGAGAAGAACCCATTTGTTGGGGAACCACATGTGGTTTTGGCGCAGATTTATTTGAGCCAAGGGAGGTTCGAAGAGGCAGAGAAAGAGAGTGAAGAAGGGTTGAAGCTTCTTCTGCAATGGGGAAGTCCATGGGATAAGAGAATGTCATGGGAAGGTTGGATCTCATGGTGTAGAGTTTTGGTGATGAAATCCAAGGAGAAATCATGGCCACAGACTTCTTGGGGGATCCTCAATTTGGGACTTGTTCGATAGAGTCAAAATTGGGCAATAATGGCCGAGGTTTGTCTTCCTAAATAAAATAAGACTTGCATTTGTGTAATATTCTCTACATTCACATTCACTAAAGAAACCCATTATCATGGGATGTATCAAGTAAGATTCAGGGCTTATGAACATAATGGAAATTTTATAAAAAATAGTCTTCATTAGGTGCTATGTATCTACATTCTATCATCTTTAACAGTTTGTATGACTACAAAATATCATATTTTCCTGATGCAACTCTCTAAGTACAAAGATTGTATCTGCCACCCTACATTATGCCAAGAAAAAAAAATCTGAGAAAATTCATCAAAAGCCCAATTGTGATTTTCTTTCCATTTTCTGAGTTCGTTCATCATAAGCAACAGATGGGCCCACCTATATGTATGTCATCCAACAATTTAAAGTTTATAACTGAAAAGACAATGGAAGTGTTCTTTGAGTTCCTTGGAAAAGACCAAAGAAAGATGAAGAAACATCCAACTGTTCATCCAAATTAATGCTACTACTGGAGTTGTGTCGTGTTCTTGAACAGGTGTATATGCTGCAGCAATACAAAGATTCTGCACAAAAGAGAGAGGAGTATGATAAAAAAGCATAACAAAGTCAAATGTGGAAAGTATCACTCCATCAGTATTTACATGCAAGAGGTCCACACTTCCTCATGAACCTGAAACAGATAAGCAGTTTTAATACACATAAACAGAAAACATCAATCAAAAACACGTAATGCATGCATGAAACTATCACATTATAAAGAGAGAAAAGATGTATATACCTTATGCAATTTATTTATATTACTCCTTGATATCACAATCCGTCTGTCTTCATTCAATTTGTTTATTAAATACTCTAAGGGATCTTCCTCCTGGAATGACAAAGACCAAGAATAATATTTGAGTTTGTAATTGTAAATCTGTCCAATGGAATTCTACTAAGCTTCCAGTCTGTTAATTACCTTTGGAGGATGCAAAGACATAATACTAGTGAAAATCTTGTATATATCATTGTCCTCAGTAAGTCGCTTTAAAGAGAGAGACTGAAGAAGAATACAAGTACTGGTTGCAATTAATGGATATCTAGTCATATATAATAGCAACATACTTCCATTGACATGTCATCTCTTCACCTGATTCACCATGTTCATCATCTGACTCATTTTCTGAGTTATCTTCACCAAAATCCTGCAACAATTAACCACCATGATTTCTAGAATCAAAAAGGTAGAAAACAATTGCAGGTTCCCACAACATCTAAACTTACATAAGGAGCTAAAAAGCTACTGCCATGTCAACGTCTTGTCACTAAGCCATTCCTTTTGATCTTCTCTGCATCATGGTGATTCACATCCTCCTTGATATTTTCTTTTCCAATACTACCCTTATCAGACTTCAAAGCATCTTTCAGTGGCGTATGTTTATCTTCACTAGCGTTTCTTCCATGATCACCCTCTGAGCTATAGAAACGAAGTACTAAAGTGTAAATCCCAATTATCATAGTAACATTGAGTTAAACAGATGCTTACACCAAAAAATAGACTCCATCTTCCTTTCAAGTCTCAATGAAGAAAAGACATTCAACCTGATACCCATGCTTTGAAAACTGGACCGGATCGGCCGGTTTAACTGGAACCGGTCTGGTTCGGTCATGTGAACCAGAAAACCATTCGTCATGTGAACCGGTAAAAACCGGTCTGGTCGAGCCGGTAAAATCGGGAATATATATATATATATATATATATATATATATATATATATATATATATAGGGAAAAATGAATATACATTACAGCCCCACCTAAGCTTAGGTACTAAACCTCATGAAAATACGTTGTTTTACTATATAAAGATTACGATTAGGTTACCACTTGAAGTTGTAGTTTCATAATGTACACAATAGTTTTGATAAGGAAGCAAGAACGTTGATCATCTTCCTCCTTCGTGACGATGGAAAACAATATTGTTCACTAGGGTGAAGTAAAAACGATAATGAAGGAAAAAAAAAACAATGATGGTAAAACGATAATGGAGGGAAGAAATGTTATTAGGGATGATATATTTACCAAGTGAAAACCAAATCGAGTATAACTACTAAGTTAAAACGATATATTTTAGAGGTTTTGTATTTTTTATATAATAAAAATTGTGAATAATATAAGTATGACATCATCAGGTTTTTCGGGTTTTTGAGACTGACCGATTGGACCAATTGAACCATTGAATCAGTAAGACGGCCGGTTCGGTCTCCGGTCCGGTTTTCAAAACCTTGACAAATACTATATATCACCTTCACCGTACATGCATGAACACATGTAGCATGGGGAACGAAGTTGACAATATTGCGCCAAAAGGAGATAGGAGAGAGACGATGGTGTTGACTTCCAGTTATTGGGTTTTTACTTTTTAGTAGAGTTGTATAAAATAGTTTGGTACAACACTTGCTACTTCAATAACTTCATAAGGTCAGCAAAAAATGGTACCTCCTTTTCAACAATTTACTTCCAAACAATTTTTTTTATACTAACAATTTACTTCCAAAATGACAGATACATGATAATAAAAATCCTGGTATTTCACCCAACCTTAATACCATAATTTGACCATTGATTCAATATTTAATAATTTACACCCAAAATATCGAACAAATTCTAATAAAAAATCTACTGATATGACAAGTCAATATGTGAAACAAATCACTGTTTACCCTAATAAGATCAAAATTATGTTTCCAGACTAATTTCAAAATAGAGTAGAAAACTTAAATTAAGTTCATTCATTCATAGTTAATTATGATAAATCCAATTCAGTCTATTCTTGATCTGTTGGAACTAAACATGCTAAAATTCTCTGAAATCAAAACAGATATAATGACACCTATGGCTGGAATTTTGGTTATAGCCAGACATATGGGAAATCAACAACTTAATTAGAATCTGGTAATTTATGAAACCTGCATCGCGATGATGAAGCTACACTGAAAGACCTTGACTTGTTATCATATTGGATGTTGGTACGTTCCAAGACATTTTTCGAGACAACTTCAGCTGCTTGACAGACACTAGAAAATATTGCTTGCAGCACTAGACTATTTGACACAGGTAGTCCAGTCAGCAGTCTTTGAACGCGCTGCATCTTTGTCACGATTGATTCTTCTATTCTCCTTGCATTCATCTCTATCAACTTATTCTCAAAGTCCCTTCCTCCATTGATGTATCCCATGCAATTACTCTTGATGATTTTGCGATATCTTTTACACTGCTGTACCAGCGCCGGTATTCCTTGCATAAGTCCTTGTGCTGATGCGATATTCCTCATACCTATAATCACCTGCACTGTTGTTTGACATCATCATCATCATCGTACATTTGTCCATTATAATAAAAATGAATATAACCCACTAAGTTTTCTTATTAAAAAAAAAAAAAAAAAAAAAATTAATCAAATGCGGTAACTGCCAGATTGAAATATATATATATATATATATATATATATATATATATATATATATATATTCAAAACCTACTGCTTTATTAAAATAGAATTTGTCTATTAATAAATAAAATCCAAACATTAACATCAACTAGACCAGGTTATATGCAATGTTGCATATTTAGGTCTGGTTTTACATTTCGTTTAATGAACCTTTTTACTACATAAACCAGGAAAAAGATGAAACGTAGCATTGTAGTGTTATAAACTGTACAGTTGTTGTATGTATACATACCTCACGTGAGATGATTGTGATGATGGCACTTGAAAAACTATCTTGCATATTATGTTTTATTTGAGTAGATGTAGCTACATTCTCGTGTGGTTGCAACTCCATGTATAGCGTTGCAGGGCAAGTTAAAAACTTTAAGATATTTAAGTTAGCAAACGGAGAAGGCTGATGTGAGACTGGTTCCATGGATGAAGAAAGAATCTACATAAAATATAAGAAAAGAAGATTAACAATCCTAGTATGATAAACTAACAAGTAGCTAATACCTGAAGAATCCCCAAGTTAAGGGTAAGGAATTTGACATTGTGGAGCTGATTAAGCAGACAAGCTAATTTACGAGCCTGTTGGTGTAAACCTGTATAATGGAGATTCACCCTAAAACAGAGATCCACCTTCTCCAAAGAAGGGAAACCTTGTCCTTGTGTGGGAATTAGCTGAAAAGGATCAAAACCTTTTATGACCAAGGAGGTAAGGCCTGATGCAGAAATGAGAAATTCCTTCCCACTGAAACCTTTAATAGTGAGATTCTTGAGTTGAGGTGCAACCACCTTGACAACTTCCAACCAAGAGAATGAATGTTCATGTGTGAGATTAGAAAGTCAAGGATGACATATATTCAAAACAACCATTTCCATCACTCGGCAATCTACTAAGGAGAGATGCTTTAAGTTGGGCCACTTGGAGAAAAGACAGGTGAAGTTATCACCAGAGAGTGTGACATAATGAAGATGCAGTGTTGTTAAAGCCGAGAGGTCCACGACTCCAATGTAATTAGACGTCAAAGAGTCGCCTGTCATAATAGTCAGTTGTTGGTTACTGTGAGAGGATGCGTAGTCCAGAATTCCTTTGACAGAATCGTGGCTAACCTCAGCCGGAGGAACCAGCTTCACTGAAGACAATTGTAACTGATTATTGCGGTGATACAGAACGTTAGAAACAAATTCAGGAGAGAAATCCTCATCTGAGAAATTCAGACAGAGTATTGAAGTCCAGATAAACCTCCATCTACATGACAAAACACAACTTCTGATAGCCTCTCTCAGGCTGCTTAGTCCATCCTCTTTTACATTCATTCCAACTTTCTCATCTCCAAAATCCATTCTAATACCTTGATCAGAATTTTCAATTATAAACACATTGCATCTCATCCCACCATATGATCATTATCCATTCTTTTTGGCTCCAAAACCTGCAATGAGATAGAATGCAATAATCACGACATACTAAACCTAAACCTAAATTAACATCCAACTTGAAAACGAGTTTCAAACAAGATCAAACATATCAAATTATACAATTCGGCATTATAAACAACAATAATTATCACTGGTTTGACAATCAAGCATCAAGAATTGTTCACTCTCCAAGACTTCCTGCAATTCAGGATCGTTTATATGCATTGAGTATTTGTTTTATACAAATAGGGATCAAAATTAGTAGCATTAACTAGGATATGCTTCGTTTTTTTTATTTCATTTGGCGACCATAAAAACAGAAAACGAGTTCAAAGTACTATCGCCAATCTACATGATTATAATCGGTAAAAGAAATAAATGGGTAATTACACAATTGCAAGAGCATATAGAATGAGATTGGACTGGTTTTTCTCGTAAAAACATACCTTCTCTAATGGTTTGCCATGGCTTATCCAGCTTATACATATAAAATGATTCACCAAATAACTAAAATGCTTTTCAAAAGTTCAACTTACATGATTTGCAGTTAACATGCTAGAACCAGCAGGTTTATGATCAACATCATCATTCTTTGTAACTGTTAGCCACTGCCAGCATAACTTCTAAAAACTGAGGCAACAAACACAAACACGAAAGAAAACGATATCATGATATTTTCAACGACATTTGAGCAAATTGGGCAAGAAATAACACTTACTGATGCAAATTCTATTTCAACAACCACATGGACGTTAAGCTGCAAATTAACTGTGGCCTTGACATCTTTTGCACCCGCGGTTTCATAAGGACCGATCTAAATGAACATTAATCAAATAAAAGTTATATGTTGAAACCCTAATCATAGTATAAGACATAAATTAAGAAATTTTATGAATCAAAATTCATAAATAGAGTATCCGAACATACCTGAGAGTCTTGATGTTGGGTTGATAACGACGGACGACAAAGGGGATAAGTATGGAGGTCGATGCCTTAAAGAGAAATCAGATTCATCACGTTGTTGACTAACTCGTGAATCGGCAATGATGGGGTGGGGTCGGCCGGAAAGGAGATGATGGAGGTGGTGGTAGTCGGAATCGGCGATGATAGGGATGGGGTGACGGGACTCAGCGATGGTGGTCACGGCGGGAGGAATCGACGATGTAGGGTTAGTGTGGCCTATTTTCTCAAAGGGAAAATGACACATATAACCACGAACTTTTTAGGGTTTACTCGTTCAGTCCCTAATGTTATTTATGTGTCTTTTAAGGGAACAAAGTTGGTTGTGTCGGGTCTAAAACGTCCTTTTTGAGAAAACGAAGGGGTAACCAACAGCTCACGTATTTTTACATTTTAATAATTAAACATAATAAGAGGGGCCCACAACTCTCTCTCTCTCTCTCTCTCTCTCTCTCTCTCTCTCTCTCTCTCTAATTTGGATTTGAAAGTCAAACCTCTCCAACAAGCCTCTGCAGTAAGTTGCTTTTGTCACTTGACCAGAAGTGTTATATACAAATGGATGAAACTTGTTCAAATCCTTGTCTGCATCTTCCTTGGACTAACCACGCCCACCACCAATTTCATGTGATATTATATTGACTTACATAAGATGACATATCCCTCTAAATCCTCACAGCCTTAGTCCTGAAATACCACCGTTAGTAATAGTCAGCAAATTCCAGGGTTGAAATTAATTAAATGGAACGTAAGTTTAAATTGTTCAACGTCTTCATCCGATTCGCGATTAAAGGTATGAGCCAGGGAAGAAAAAAAATCAAGGGAATCGACCTGATGTTCGATCGGAGGCACAAAATACACAGTCAAAATTTCGAGGGTGGAGCTGGCTTACCGACGGCAGCGGCAGCGAACAATGGTGGTAACTGAAGATTGTCGGCGGCAGTAGCAGCAAACGGTGGTAGAAGGGCAGTCGGTGGTGGTGTGCGACAGGGGGCTGCTCTGGCGGCCTTCTGCTACTTCGTTTCTTCTCGAATTCGACGAGAAAATGAATGGGGGAAAGGAGGAGCTTGGTGGTGGTCGGAATTTCACAACAGTGGCGGTGATGGCGGTGATGGGCGTTTGATGGTGGTGGGTGGTGGGTGGAAAGTGGTGTTGGGTGGTATTCGGTGGTCACAACAATTGAAACGGTGGTGGTAATTGATTTTCTAAACAGATGACGAAAATAAGGGGTTGTTGGTTGACAACAACTGACCAATGGTGGTGGTTCACGGTGGGTTTGCGGTGGTCTATGACCTAGTTGTGGTGGTGCAGTGGTTAGTTGTGGTGGTGCAGCGGTGTTGGTGTTGGGGTTGATGTGTGGTCGGGAGAGAACAGGAGAAGATAAAGCTCCTTCTTCCTTGTTGCAGCAAGTTACGAAAGAGAGAGAGAGAGAGAGAGAGAGAGAGAGAGATGGGTGGGGCCCAAGTTTGATCTATCTGTTATCCAAGACGGCTAAAACAAGTAAATAGTCTAAAAGAACAAGTTACCCACAACTTGGTTCCCTCATAAAGCCATAAAAAAAATTTAGTGACTAAAAGGGTAAACCCTAGAAAGTTCGTAGGCTATATGTGTCATTTTCCATTTCTCAAATGAAATTAGGTTAAAATATAGGGAAAATGACAAAAACGCCCTACAAAGTTTATAGGGTTGGTCGATTCAGTCCCTAAAGTTTTTGTCGGGCTAGAATACGACCTGCTCTTTTAGTCCCTGTCAACCTGTAATAGCCGGTTCAGTGACCATTTAGACCAAAAAAACTTACATTGTGCCCCAATAAAGCCAAAAAACAAGTTCGGGGTGAATGTGGGCATGGTGCAAACTGCTGGACTGGAAATCTAACTTGGAGCTGAGTTGTTAGTGAACCATATATATGTGATACGTGGATGTATTAGTGAACCATATATATGTGACATAGAATTTTCAGTTAACGTTGAGAGATCATTTTTAGACGAATCACATAAGTTTTCTCTCTCATCCTCTCATCTAAAAAATCTAGCAACCTGTTGTTCGTCGTTCCTTTCTTCTATATTAGATATAAGATTTGTAAATTGTTTTCGTTTTACTTAATTAGATATAGGATTGATTAGGTGATTGTTGAGTGTAATTTGTAGGGAGAATTTTCTTGTAATTTGTTTGGAATATGGTTATATGTCAATAAAGGACTGATTCAGTATTTCCTGTGTTCGTTAATATATTGATACCATACATCCTTATGAATAATGGATGGTGTTGCAGTAAAGTTTTGAGAGTATTTCACCAACCATATCGAGCAAGCAATGCACGTGTTGACGCTAACCCTTATGAATATTGATTCCACAGAGGTCTTGGTGTTCCAACCTTTCTATAATTATTAAAAAATATGTAAGAACAAAGGGCAACATGCGAGTAATAAAACCGGTCCAATACACCACACATTTTTATCTTTTGCCTTTGCGAATTCTTCAACATACTCGGGCTCTAACCCGTCGAAGCTATTCACGGCAATCCCATATGTAGCTTTTCCAGCTTCCTCTATACGTTGAAACATCTCCATCCTTTCTTTTGAGTCTCTTTTTGGCCAATCATAAGCTTGGGGTTTGGTAACTTTGATCCGGTCAGGAAGGTTGTGATGGGTTTTGAGCATTCTAACACTTCCTAAGTGTACATGCAACCCTAATAACCTTGGATCTATGTTTGTCTAATTATCATGCAAAGTTGAATTCCAAGGTTATATTCCTATCTAGCATACATGGGGAACAAATTTTAACTTGCATGAAAGATAGAATAACTTACCTTGTTGTTGCTTATGATCCTTGAAACCTTGTGAGCCTAGCACCCCAAGTGTGATGCCTCAAATGCTTCACACAACACCAAATGCTTTTGTAATGACTTTAGAGAGAATACACACTTCTAAAATCGGCCTAGCCCTCTTGTTTCTTATGTGTACACGATTTTGGTGGAGAATGGGTTTCTTATATAGTGTTGACACATCTAGGGTTACACCATGTAAACCCTAATGTGTCATGACTCTTCATTTCCATGACCCATGGGTTTGTAACTCCCATGGAGCATCCATGGAGCATCCTATGGGTGGAACCCAACTTGATAATCCATAGAGCCTCTTAGCCCACTATATAAGATATGGAAGATTTACATAATCTACCCATATATTTAATTAGTTATCTTTTGATCACTTAATTAATTCTAAATTAATTCTTGATCAAACTAATTAAATAATATTATTAATATATTAGAACTTATAATATATTAATAAACCATAAGTGTTATTTCTCTCATTTTAGTTTATCCAATTGCATGGTGCCATGCAACCCAAATGGACCATGCCGGGTCGGGTCAAGTACATACCAGAAATAGTTATGGACTTAGACACCTTATCCAACAGTCTCCCACTTGGATAAGTCTAATAACTATAACTGCAATACTTCAGGAACCGATCGGCAATCGTAGCTCTTTCAAGGTCTCTCGGAACTGAGAAGATGATGATACGCCATTTAAGATAAGTGATCATATAATCCTCTGTTCTAGATATCAGCCGGACAAATACATGGAACAATGTCTTACTTATTGTCCAGCAGTTTGTTTCCCGATTTCCGATTTGTTTGACAAAGAACTTAATTGAACACATCAACTTAGTTCTGACCGGGCCCGGTACATAGGTCAAAACAAAATCATCGAGGGGCCCAGATATCAGCTTCTAATCCAAGAAGGAACAGATAAACTTCGACTCATATGTTTGTTCTACCACTCATTGAATTATACACAAAGCACATTTTATAACATCGAGTTACCAATGCGTTAACGTACAATCAATGCATAACCAACTCATAAGTAACAAATCATATCTCTAGGTTTGAAGACTTATATGATATTACCATCTCACGATCACTCGAGATAAATTCCATGAAGTGATTCCAGTGAGCGTGGGTTGAGTCCAATGCTCAGAACTTATGAGCACTCATGAGTGTTGTAGCCATGTCCAACAACTTAGACCTCTGCAACCAATCATGACAGTCTTGATTCATACCTACTTCCGACATATGACCGATTGTGGAGGTTCGAATAATATGATATACCAAACATAATTATTCTGGAAGTCAAAAACATGCAAAAGAAATATAGTAAACGATCGACAAGAGATAGCAACACTTTACTCATAAATAAAACACCTTTTATTCATCATCTAATGTCAATTACACTTTACAAATTTCAAGGTTATCTAACTACTAAATCTAATATCATTCTTCAGCCCTATGCTCCGAGCATGCTGGAGATGCTTAACCCGAGTCAGTCCCTTCGTGAGGGGATCTGCTGGATTCTCATCCGATGATACCTCTTTGCCACGAGGAGTCCTTCTTCTATTCGATGTCTGATGAAATGGTATTTTCTGTCGATGTGTCTGGATCTCCCGTGATCCCTTGGTTCCTTGGCTAAGGCAACTGCACTTTCACTATCACAGAAAATTTCCATTGGCTCTTTAATAGCTGGTACAACTCCAAGGTCTCCAATGAAGTTCTTCAGCCATATCGCCTCCTTTGCGGCCTCGCTAGCTGCTATATACTCTGATTCGCAAGTTGAATCAGCCACTGTCTCTTGCTTGGAACTCTTCCAAGAAATTGCTCCTCCATTTAAGGTAAAGACCCAGCCTGACTGAGAGCGGAAATTATCCCTATCAGTCTGAAAGCTAGCATCACTATACCCTACAACTCTCAAGTCTTCACTCCACCGAGGGTAAGGACCCAGTCCTTAGTCCTCCGTAGGTACTTGAGGATATTCTTTACCGCAGTCCAGTGTGCCTTGCCAGGGTTCCCCTGATACCTGCTAACCATGCTCAAAGAAAGGCTACATCAGGTCGAGTACACGTCATAGCATACATGATCGATCCTACAGCCGAAGCATAAGGTATTCGACTCATTTCTGCTATCTCAGCCTCAGTACTAGGGCTTTGTGTCTTACTCAATCTGGCGTTACTCTGGATGGGTAACTCTCCTTTCTTGGAGTCCTGCATGCCGAATCTCTTCAACACCTTATCCAAGTAAGTACTCTGACTAAGTCCAATTAGTCTTTTACTCCGGTCTCTCAAGATCCTTATCCCTAGAATATAGGCAGCTTCTCCTAGGTCCTTCATAGAGAAACACTTCCCAAGCCAGGACTTAACTTCCTGCAGAGTTGGGATGTCATTTCCTATGAGTAGTATGTCATCCACATACAATACCAAAAAGCTAACTATACTCCCACTAGCCTTGACATATACACAAGATTCATCTTCACTCCTAGAAAAGCCAAATTCCTTGACTTTCTCATCAAAGCAAAGATTCCATCTGCGAGGTGCTTGCTTTAACCCATAAATGGATTTCTCAAGCTTACACACTCTATTAGGGTACTATGTATTGACAAAACCCTCTGGCTGACTCATGTAAACATCCTCAGCCAACTTTCCATTAAGGAAAGCGGTTTTGACATCCATTTGCCATATTTCATAGTCATGAAATGCAGCTATGGCTAACAGAACCCTAATAGACTTAATCTTGGCCACTGGAGAAAAGGTCTCATCATAATCAACTCCCGGAGTTTGTGAGAAACCCTTTGCAACCAGTCGTGCCTTATAAGTGTGTACATTACCATCCATGTCGGTCTTCTTCTTGAAGATCCATTTGCACCCTACAGTCTTACGACCTGGTACATTCTCAACCAAGTTCCAAACTTGATTGTCATACATGGACTGTATCTCGTTGTCCATTGCCTCTTTCCACTTGGCTGACTCAGGGCCTGCCATGGCTTCCGCGTAACTGTTAGGTTCATCCAGACCTATCAGTGTCTCATCACTGATAAGTGTATCACCTTCCGCAGTAATATGGAATCCATAGTAATGCTCAGGTGCATTCCTAACCCTTGTGGAACGCCTCAGAGGTACAGACTTGTCAATTGGCTCAACAGGAGTTTCCTCCTCAAGTTGAGTGCTAGGGTTTGAAGTTCCTTCACCACTTGACTCTTGAATTTCTTCAAGGTCAACTTGCCTCCCACTGTCTCCTTGGCTTATGAACTCTCTCTCTCGAAAGAAAGCCCTCCTAGCTACAAAGACCACATTCTCACTAGGTCTGTAGAAGAGGTAACCAAAGGATTTCTGTGGGTAGCCGATGAAAATACACCTCTCACTTCGAGGTTCGAGCTTATCATGAGTCTCGCGTCTCACGAAAGCCTCGCAACCCCAAATCTTAATGTGGTCTAGTTTGGGTACTTTACCAGTCCACATCTCATGAGGAGTTTTGGCAACTTTCTTTGTGGGAACTAGATTAAGGATATGGGCGGCAGTCTCTAAGGCATACCCCCAAAATGAGATTGGTAGCGAAGCTCGACTCATCATGGAACGAACCATATCCAACAAGGTTCGATTACGCCTCTCAGCTACACCATTCAACTGCGGTGTCCTGGGAGGTGTCAATTGTGAGACAATCCCACATTCCCTAAGATAGTCGAGGAACTCTGAACTAAGATACTCACCACCTCGATCGGATCGAAGCATCTTAATGTTCCTGCCCAATTGATTCTCGACTTCCTGTTTAAACTCTTTAAACCTCTCAAAAGTCTCTGACTTATGCTTGATTAAGTAGACATATCCATATCTACTGTAATCATCAGTAAAAGTCAAATAATAACGATTAGCATCCCTTGTGGCATGTTTGAAGGGCCCACACACATCCGTGTGTATAAGATCCAACAAACCTTCACCCCTCTCACAAGAACCTGTGAAGGGTGACTTTGTCATTTTTCCAAGTAAGCATGATTCGCAACTATCATCTGACTTTAGGTCAAATGACTCCAATACTCCATCCTTTTGGAGTTGGCCTATGCGTTTCTTGCTTATATGTCCAAGACGACAATGCCATAATGATGCTTTATCCAAGTTATTATCATTAACAGAATCAATACACAATACATTATTTCCTAAGTTATCAACCACAGATACAGTTTCATACACACCATCACAAGGTAATGCTTTAAAATAAAGAACATTATTAAAGAAAGCATTAATCGAACCAACTTCATTATCAAATGAAAAGGTGAAACCTTGTTTATACAATGCATGAAAGGAAATAATATTTCTTGCCATTTCTGGCGAATAACAACATTTATTCAAATCTAAACTAAACCCACTACTTAGCGATAAAGTATAAACTCCAATCTTGGTGACAGGTAAAGCTTTCCTATTCCCCATGATTAAGTTTATTCTTCCATGCTCCACATTCTCACTTCTTCTTAGTCCCTGCAAATCAGAACAGATATGAATACCACAACCGGTATCAAGGACCCAAGAGTTAGAATGGGGTGAGTTATTAGATAAGATAGTGTAAATACCTGCATGGTTGGGTTTAACTTTCCCATCCTTCACATCTTGCTGGTACTTTGGGCAGTTCCGCTTCCAATGTGACTTTTCATGGCAATAGAAGCATTCAGCCTCTTTAGGGTCAGAAGAAGGAGTGACAAAACCTTTCTTGGTTCCACTTGAAGAAGAGCCATCAAGGGTCCTAGCCTTGGTACCCTTCGAAGAGCTCTTCCTCTTCTTCCCTCTACCTTTCCCGATTGCCAAAACCGGGGCGGAGTTTGGAGTAGGAGTGTTAACAACCGACTTACCCTTAAGACCTGTTTCTGCGGTCTTGAGGAGTCCCTGAAGTTTGCTGAGTGTGACCTCTTCCTTATTCATGTGATATGTCATGCGGAATTGATCATAGCACGATGGTAAGGAGTGCAAAATGATATCTATTGCAAGCTCCTCAGGGAAGTTCACATTAAGCTTCAGCAACCGATCCACATACCTTTGCATTTTCTGCATGTGGCTCGTGACGGATTCCCCGTCCTTCATCATGGTTGTTATGATAGAGCATATGATTTCATACCTCTCTTGTCGTGCACTTTGATGGTATCTTTCCATCAGATCTTGGTGCATTTCAAAAGGGTAGAAGTCCTCATAGGACTTTTGGAGTTCCGCTGTCATGGTGGCCAACATGATGCATGCCACTTTTGTAGCATCCCTTTCATGTGCCCGGAAGTCAGCGATCTCCTGGGGAGTTGCAGTGGTCTCATCAATCTCCTTAAGCTCCTTGTCAAGGACATATTCTTTGTCCTCGTAGCGGGTAATCATCCTGATGTTTCTGATCCATTCATTGAAGTTGGATCCATCAAAAGTGACTTTCCCACACAAGTTCATAAGGGTAAAGGAGCCATTAGGATTAGAGCCAGAAGCAGCATTGTTTGAAGACATCTGAAAGAAAAGAACAAGGTTAGTTTAGATATTAAGAGAGTCCTTAATAAAACACCCAAATGTAATATTAAGGCTAGGATCCAATCATAATATATTATAACTTAGAAAGGTATGCCGTAATCCAAGCTATAACATATTTGAAAGGTAAGTGAATGACGATTCACCAATTTCCACCATGAAAAACGAAATATAAATATTAGGTTTTTAATTGGTTCTTAGAAATTCCTAGATTCTTTTGAGATTCAATGAACTTTTCAAAGGCATGTTTCAATCTCGAGTGTGCCCTCCAAGTTTTGTGACTGGGATACCGAGGATCACAAAACGAGGTGTGAAGTAACATGCAAATCACTTGGTACCCTCAAGGTTTATCACTCAATCGATGTGCCGGTAAACCACACACGCTCCACCGATGCTATGGTAAACCTTAAGTCACCCTTTACCTACCTTGTTAAGTCCAAGTTAGTGTGCCGGTTAACCACACACGCTCCACCAACGACTTAAACAAAGTGTAAAGTGTAATTTCATGGATTAGCACCTTATTCACATTTTCCTAAAGTAACTAAGATTGGGAATTTAATAAAAGCATTTAGTTACTTTATAATATTCATCATACTTTTAATGAGAATTTATAAGTCCTTGTCTTACCCGTTCGGCTAACGACCCTCCACCGATCAAGGAAGCGGTGGGTGAGAGTGGACACCCATTAAGTTGCCATTTTATAGGCAACAACCTTATACCCCCCTTATAGACCGGCTTCGTGAATGAGGCGTACTAGCGGTAAGACGACTTGACGTTATACATATATATATTAGTAACTTATAATATTATAAAGTATAAGGGTTGAATTTTAACTTTTAAAATTCTAAGGGTTGGAACTAAAGTTTTAATCAAGACTTTACTTGTTCCAAAACTTGAGGGCAAGTTTTGTAAACTTCCAAAACTTTTCATTTCTTATAACTTATGAATTAATTGAGTAATAAAAATAAACACTCTTCATTTTTATAACTCTTGTGTTCTTTTAATGGCTTTAATAAAAATGAGACTTTTGGTTTTCCATAACTTGAGGACAAGTTATGGACTCCATTAAAACACATTATGATCATGAATTAAACTACCATGAAGGTTACAAACAATTCCTATGATCATCTAATCTTCATAAGTTCAAGAACATGAATATGAACACTTTCAAGAATCAAAAATTACACTTAAAAAAAACTTGTAATTTTAATAATTGCCATTGTAAATGGATTAGCACAAACATTACAACATCTAAAACAATCTTTAAAACATCAAAACAGTTTAGGGTAATGTTTCTAGTCCATTTCCAGCAACAAATGTGCAAACTTTCATACGAGCAGAAAACAGAAAAACAATTTTTTTTCAAGCTGTTTATACACAAAAAAAACAACAAACGAACCTGTCTCTGATACCACTGATGGGTTTTGAGCATTCTAACACTTCCTAAGTGTACATGCAACCCTAATAACCTTGGATCTATGTTTGTCTAATTATCATGCAAAGTTGAATTCCAAGGTTATATTCCTATCTAGCATACATGGGGAACAAATTTTAACTTGCATGAAAGATAGAATAACTTACCTTGTTGTTGCTTATGATCCTTGAAACCTTGTGAGCCTAGCACCCCAAGTGTGATGCCTCAAATGCTTCACACAACACCAAATGCTTTTGGAATGACTTTAGAGAGAATACACACTTCTAAAATCGGCCTAGCCCTCTTGTTTCTTATGTGTACACGATTTTGGTGGAGAATGGGTTTCTTATATAGTGTTGACACATCTAGGGTTACACCATGTAAACCCTAATGTGTCATGACTCTTTATTTCCATGACCCATGGGTTTGTAACTCCCATGGAGCATCCATGGAGCATCCTATGGGTGGAACCCAACTTGATAATCCATGGAGCCTCTTAGCCCACTATATAAGATATGGAAGATTTACATAATCTACCCATATATTTAATTAGTTATCTTTTGATCACTTAATTAATTCTAAATTAATTCTTGATCAAACTAATTAAATAATATTATTAATATATTAGAACTTATAATATATTAATAAACCATAAGTGTTATTTCTCTCATTTTAGTTTATCCAATTGCATGGTGCCATGCAACCCAAATGGACCATGCCGGGTCGGGTCAAGTACATACCAGAAATAGTTATGGACTTAGACACCTTATCCAACAGGTTGGGCAGCACAAAGTACTCAGAGTCGAATTTGATTTCATCAAGTATTCTAGTATTCGCTACTATGTGTATGCATATGTACGTGTAGCATCCTGGTCCGTAGAAAACAAGCCTATGAATATTTAACCTCTTAGCCATACCTGTCGTTCATGGTAAACCACTATTCGAGATGATGCAACTTGGAGCAGGAGTTAAATGTCGGAGCATGCTTTCAGTTGGTTCTCTAACATGGAAATGACATCAACAAATTTGACCACGAGTGCAATTGATGGAATCAAGTCAAAACTCTGGCATCCTTCAAGCAATCGAACTTCAGCTAAAGGGAGTTTGAGTTCAAGTACTTGAATCTTGAGGTTAGCTTTAATTGCACGATCAGTGACTGATTTAAAATGGTCAACGTTAAATGGAGTTGTGATTATAGTGACAAGAACACCGTGTTGGGCTAGCATTCTGGCAATGTCCACCATGGGTATCATATGGCCTTGGGCCATTAGAGGTAACAAGGTAAAGTGAAGGTCGGAAGAAGGGAAAGCCATTGGAGTACAAGAATGTGGTTTTGGGTGGTTGTTTTTAGTTCTACATGAGAGATCTATTTGCTTGGCTCAAATAACATGTGAAGTGTTGTAAGTGTTTGCCACGTGTCTTAATCTGTGTGGTTTGCAAAAACCAAGACCCTTTAAGATTGACGTTATGTTCTATATTGTAACTTCACGAATTGATCCCCGAACTTATTTTGTTGGCTTTATATGTAACACCTCGTTTATTAAATAAATAAATAGACAAATTAATGAATGAATAGTAACCCTAAAATCAATAATAATTTAGCAAGGTGTTGGTTTCGAGGAGTTAACTGTCATAATTTTTGGATGTTGGGGGTTAAAAGTGTAAGTTCCGGATTGGTTTTGTAAATATTTATGAAGACATGGGCTGCTTGGTAAATTATTGGGACTTAATTTGAAGAGATGTTGGAGGCTAAGGGGCTGAATGGTAATATATGGACTTCAGTTGAAAATTATTTGTAGATGAGGGGCTGTTAGGTAAAATGTTGGGCTTGTTATGAAAGGGTTTTTAGAGGTTGGTGCTAAAAGGGTAAATAACGGGCTTAAGTTGAAAGAAAAAGGAGGAGGGACCATTTGCGTCATTATGGAAGGAAGTTTCATGGGGTCGGGGTAAATAACCTGTCACCCCCGGTAACCCTAACCCTAAATACTATTCACAACCGCCACCCTCACTACCCTCATCCTCCGGCCGCCAACCCCGTTTCTTCACTTTCGGTCGCCGCCAACACCCCTTCCTCTCATTTTCCCGACCAACGAAGACAACCTGTGATATCTTCTCCTTTGCAACAAGGTGTGTCGAGACTGACGAGGATAGAAGGCGACTTTTGGATGCTGTCGGGTTCGCACCTTTAGCCGCCGTTGCGCCGCTTCTGTTAAAGACGGAGCCACAGTTGGTTGTGTGGCTGTCGTTGTTACTGTTTCGATCGATACTCTTTCTCCTCCTTCTTCCTGCCGACGCATCACCGCCACTACTCTCATCGCCGGTGATGGCGAGAGTTCGAGCTCGATACTGTGGTCGTGGGGAGACCGGTTAGACTCGCGTTCACTGGCTGTTACGTCCCTCTCGTCCCTATTCTCCTGTCGCAACATTGTCCCCGTTGAAGACGTGGTCACCATCGTCCATCTGTCGCCGTTGCTGCCCTCCATTTTGTACCATCGTCGCCGCCGTACGCCACCAGGTAGGTGGTTGGATTCATGTTGCAAACAGAAAGTGTGTGTGTGTATTTCTGCTGTTAGTGTGTGTCGTGGGTGGTGTTTGCTATGCCGGACTTCACGAGAAAAGCCATCACCACCACCGTGAGGTGGTGGCTGCCACCTCCAACCACCGCTTGTCGCCACAAGGGTGGTTGAGTGTGTGTGTGTGTGTGTTCATTTGGATATTGTTGTATAATTGTAATTAGTGGCTGAAATAATCAAGAAAATTCATAACACCATCGTGAGGTGGTGGCCGCCGCCGCGAGCCGCCGTTGACTACCACTACCCGAGGTGGTAGTAGGTGGTGCTCGATTTAATTAACAACTAATTAACCTAAAATCTTAACAAATGGACTATTGGGACGTGATGGGGTTGGAAACCCTAATTAGGGTTTAGAAAACCCTAATTTTAGATATGTTAATTTGGAATTTTCGGGACCCGCATGTTTGGACCACTGGATTGGAATTTTGAATTAAGCCCAATCACGTTGTATGTTTGGCCTAGTGGATTGATGGACTTAATGGATTAAGTCCTTAATGGGTTAAGTAGGAACACATAACCCTAATCGTCATTTTATGTGAAAACCCTAATTTTCTTTGGGGCCTTTAGTTGGGCCTTTCTATTGGGCTTTGGTGATTGGGCTATTGATGGGCCATCCAAGAACAAGTATATGGACTAGAATATTTGGATGAGCTTTAGGATAAATCCCATTGGAAAGGATTGGGCCCAATTTGGAAAATTAGGCCATAAATGGGCCATAACTGGGCCTTGATGATTATGAGACATTGGACCGTCAGAATGCCAAGTGTTGGGACTAGAATAAATGGTTGGGCCTTAGGGTAAGACCATGTAAAGGTTTGGGCCCAATTTGGAAAATTGGGCCATATGTTGGGCTTTGGTTCATAGTTTAACTTTTGGGCCTTTGGATTGGGCCTTGAGCTTGATCAAGCTAAGATGGGGGTAAAGTAGTCTTTTACCCCAAGCATGGACTTATGGTTATGTGTTGGAACCCAATTATTAATTGGGTGTTGTTTTGATGTTGATAGTTCGGGAATCTGTCATCCAACAGCTAGGGTTTTGTCTGCGGGACTTCAGCAGTGTGAGGTGAGTTACCTTCCAGTAGAAGTGGGTCTAAGGCACCAATGTCGGCAAACTAGTAGGAGATATAGTAGAGATGATTGTCTTTGTGATAATCGTCTGGTATGCCACCATCTGTTATGCTTTATGTGCTAGTATGTTATGATGTTATGTGATTGTGGTAGGAGGGGTAGGACAGACCCCATTACCGGTCGAAAGGGCCGAATGGGGTAGGCCAATACCCTGATATGCTAGGCAGTATGTGATTTATGTGATAGGCAGTATGCTATGATGTTATGTGATAGGCAGTATGCTATGATGTTATGTGATAGTAGTAGTAGGGGTAAAATAGTCCCCAATACCGGTCGAAAGGGCCGAAGGGGAAGGCCAACACCCTGATATGTTAGGCAGTTACATGTTGAAAGAGACCGAAGGGGTAGGCCAGCACCTTGATATAGTAGACGGTTACCGGTTGAAAGAGACCGAATGGGTAGGCCAGCACCCGAATATGCTAGGCAGTATGTGTATTGTATGGTATGTGGTATGATGGGGGAACTCATTGAGCTTCGTGCTTACAGTTTACAGTTTTGGTTTCACGTACTTCTTATTCGAAGGGAAAGGAGTCGGCATGACTGCAACGCATCACACACACGATTTTCCGCACATGAGATTCTTGGGATTTGTACTCAGACATTATTTTCATATGATATGTTTTTGAGATACTTGACTTATGGTTTTTCATGATATGAGATAACATTGATGGCGTTTTCAGTAATCTGTTTTATGAATCTTTAAATTAAAAATGAAATTTTTGGTCTTGAATTTTGGGATGTTACATTATAGGAGCACAATGTGAGTTTTTTGGTCCAAAAGGTCACTGAACCGGCTATTACAGGTTGACAGGGACTAAAAGAGCAAGTCATATCCTAGTTCAGGGACCCATAAAGCCTGACAAAACTTTAGGGACTCAATGGGTAAACCCTAGAAAGTTCGTAGGGCATTTTTGTCATTTTCCCTAAAATATATATAGACAAAACTTAATAGTATCCTAAAATCTGAGTTTTGTCTCTAAGTTTAAAAAACCTTCTAGACGATCCCTACGCCACAGAAGACCGGAAAAAAACATGAAAAACAGAAAGATAAAAAAGCATTGGACTGAATGGAGTAATAAATCTTGGATTAGATAATCTCACAATAAAACATGAAAAACAATAAAAAAACAGAAACCTTGTAAGTATTGCTCTTGAGATTATAAAGGTTGTTATGGACGACATAAATGGTGTGGTAAAACTAGATCCAATTGTTTACACTTTAACAATTATCTTTCTATGATTTTAATGAACGATAATGATCTTGGGTGGTATTTACAAGCTCATATTCCATTTAAGATGGCAGTTAAGTAAGAATATAGTATGTGTAACCCATTGTTTGAGGAGTTTAATTTTAATATGGATTATGGAGTAAATGAGTAATACTTTATCTGTATCTTCAAAAGGGCATGATAGGAGCTTATGGTCCAGATCAAACCTCTACATAAACTCCTCCCAAGACATCTCAGCCACACCCGCAGATCCTACCTCGCGGGTAACCTCCTCCCACCAATCTCGTGCCCGGTCCTTCAGCATGCAGGACGTGAACCCTACTTTCGCCACCTCGGGGCAAAAACTCGTGCGCTGGGCATTCTCCATGTCTGCATCCCAGCGAGGACTAGTGATGGGGTCCCTAACCCCAAAGAACTCAGGCGCACCACACGCCTTAAACTCCTGAAATGAGGGAGTTCGATTCCCAATCTGACCCGCATCAATCTCGGCTCGAAAAGACCTGAGCCGCTCCTCCATAATCTCCATGATCCCTTCCTTGACGGTACCAAAAATCACCGGGTAGCGTCTAGGATGCCACGAGTAACCTCAATCGCGATAAGATCGCACAACATTTCATAAATGGGCTCTACACCAGAGCCTGAACCTGATCCTGATCCCGATCCTGAACCCGATCCTGAACCCGAACCTCCTCGCGTAATCATCACCATCCTCAACTAAAAAAAATACAACATAAATAGCAATTGATAAGGAAGTTCGAAGGGATTCCTCCTCACCGGACTCCTTAGAGCTTCCAAGTATGCTCTTGTTTCGGGTACATGTCATGTGCTTTCAATAGTACGACCCCAATACTACGTTCCACACCTACATGTACCTTCCCCAAGGCCATACCTGATGCCTCTAATTCACCCAACCACATATAACATGACCCACAGAACACAACACAAACTCAGATCCTATACTATTCTACGATTTCTCAATCCTCACCGAACCAGACACCTAAATCAATCATAGCAGGTTGCCCTATGCATGCAAGTTATACACAAATAAAATCACATATACTATCAAATAAAGCTTATACCCTAAAACCACAACCAAACAAGGAACATGAAATAAGGCAGGATCCATCATTCTATGGTTATGCAATCCTAGACATATACAACTTTGAAAGCATACACTTAGAAAATAACCAGTTCAACATCAATTTCCAATAATATATCCATAACATGGCTAATACATTGGGAACACTTAGGTAGTGTTTGTTTTTTGTCTGCAGATCTGCGTGACCTCTTCTGTCTGCGCCGCGCAGACCACGCGCAGACATTAGCCTTCGCAGACTGTTTGTTTTTTTGAAGACTGCAGACCTAAAAATGTCTGTGCGCCCTCTTCTTGGCGCAGATGTGGACCAGAGTCTTCTAACATTTTCAGACATCTTCTAGCCTAAAAAAACATATATATCTTTGTTTTTTTTAAGTTTTTTTTTAATTTATATTTTTTCCAACTTTATTAATGATAAACAATTTGAAAAAAAATTACAAAACTTAAAAAAAAAACGTTCGACGATACAAACATGATATTTTTGACAAATTTATAAATAAAGATTTATTACAATAATAGTCGTTGAAGTTGTTTATATAAATATGAAAAAAAAAATCATAATATATTCTTATATTTTTTTGCCAAATTTTGTAAAACATTATTTAATACAGTATCGTCAATTTCTCGAGAAAAAATATTTATGGTACGTTTTTAATGGATTTAATTGAAAAAATCGAAGTTTATTTTCATCCATTTATGTATCAAATTCTTTGATAATTAATTATAATGTTTTGTTATAACTTTGCAACCAAAGTTGTTGGTTTTTATCAAATATATATGTTAATTCATACCATTTTATTTTTATTTTTTATACAATAATACATAAAAGTTGATCTAGATTCGTTAATTATTTATAACAAAGTCATAAAAATATTAAAAAATCACTTTGAAGTTTAAAAAAAATCAGTTTATTTAGATTTCAGTTTATTTTAGTAGCCCGCAGATGTTAAAAAAACAAACAGTCTTCTTTTTTCAGACTACAGACGTTTGGTCCACCTCTTCTACTGCAGAGGTCTACAGATGTGGTCCGCAGACTGCAGACATTTTGTTTCAGAAAAAACAAACAACACCTTACTTGAGCTCGGTCGATTACGCGCTTTGCACTCTCCCCTTTTACCTTAAGAAAACCGTTTTCAGGAAAATTTAACTTTTGTTTCTTTTGAAAAAGGGTTTACCGTTTCCTCAGTTTGAGTTCTGACACACCCGCGAGTGTGCGCGAATCTCTCAGACCAAGACTCTGATACCAACTTGTAACAACCTAAAAATTAAGATAAAAATTTTCATTTAATAATTAGAAATTACAACCATATTTGTTTTTCCAAAATTCCATTACACAATTCATTGTCTGAAGATCAGAGTATCCAAAACATAAAGTGCGGAAATACTGGAGAGTGCATGTTGCGCCATCAAGTCGGGCCCTTGCCCTTA